AGGAAATAATTTAAAGAAGAAATGCATCTTTACAATCTGTTGCCAGTTGCCTAGATTCTGCAAGTCCAGATTAGGTGTAAACAAAGCTTAATATATTAACACAAAACCATCTACAAAGTTGATAACAAAGAATAATGTACTTCAGCTGAATTGTGACATGTGTAATGGGACTAACGACTAATGAGGATGTTTTTAATTGGAAAATTTTGTGGTCTGGTCTGACCTAGTTTAGTTTGTGTAAGTCTGGTCTATTCTGTTTGAGTATGGTCTGGTAAATGTCAGGTCCCTGTGTTTTTTATAACTATCTAATATGGTCTGATCTGTTTAAGTCTGATTTGATCCGTTTATCCGGGACTAAAAATAGTCTAAATAAAAACATGTTCTTCAAAAATGAGGAAAATTGAAGTGAAATAATGGCACTAAGAGACCGTTTGGCAACACTGTTTTTCGGCTTATCAGCCAACTTTTTCACCAAACACGTAACTTTTGCTTTCGCGCGCTGAATTGTGTAATAAGCCGAAAAAGTAAGGTTGGAGTTACTTTTCTGGATGTATTGGCTGAAGTTACTGTAGATGACCATTTTAGCTATTTTACATATAATTTTTTCTTTATTTTATTAATAAAATATATTTTAAAAATATTTTTTTTCTTAAAACAGCAGAATTAGCCAATGCAGCCACTTCAGCCAGAATTTCATAAATTTTAGCAGAATAAGTCAAAACAGCTGATTTTTGTACTACCAAACAGGCTCTAAAAGTTTATGCGCTTTATAATGATTAGTACAGAAATTAGAAATCAACGGTTTGAACAAAAAAGTTGTAATTCTTTGGAGAAAACCTATAAATCATTATCGCACAAATATTTAAGCGACACTGATCTGGAGTAGAACTCTTTTTGGCTTTATTTCAGAAATATTGGGATGTTGTGGGACCGGAGGTGGTCCATCTGTGCGAAACATTGTTTGAGACATGGGTTATTCCTACGGAATTAAATACAAATATTGTTTTAATTCCTAAGAACGATAAGCTAGAAGTAGTGTTGGGAGATTGGAGGCCGATTGCCCTGTGTAATGTTGTTTACAAAATCTTCTCAAAAGTTCTGGCCAATAGAATGAAGGGCATCATGGGTTCTCTTATAGGGGATAGCCAGAGTGCTTTTATTCCAGACAGATCTATTGTTGACAATATTGTTGTTGCTTTTGAAACACAACATTTTTTTAAAAGGAAAACAGAAGGGAAAGGAGGGGTTGCGGCTTTGAAACTTGACATGAGCAAGGCTTACGACAGAGTGAGCTGGAATTTTTTGAGACATGTCATGCTTCGAATGAACTTTGATCCGAAATGGGTTGAGGTGATCATGGCGTGTGTATCCTCGGTTAATTATTTTGTTCAGATGGACAGGGATCATCTGGGGCCGATTGTTCCAGGGAGGGGGTTGAGACAAGGAGATCCTCTATCTCCTTACTTATTTATATTAGTTGCAGAAGGTTTGAGCTCTATGCTTAACAGGGCGGTGGCGGGAGGTGAAATTCATCGGGTGGCGGTCTGCAAAGGGGCTCCTATTGTCAGTCATCTATTTTTTGCGGATGACAGCTTTTTATTTTTCAGGGCTAATCAGAATGAATGCAACAAAGTTAAAAGTATCTTATCCAAGTATGGGGAGTTACCGGGGCAGGTGGTTAATTTTGACAAGTCATCGGTTGCTTTCAGCTCCAATACTGTGGAGGCCGAGAGGGTGCAATGCCGTGCTCCTTTGGAAATTCGGGCGGGGGTGGAGCAAGGTAAGTATCTCGGTTTACCAGCTCTTGCAGGAAGAAATAAGTCTGCTATTTTAGGCTATATTCGGGACAGAATTTATAGCAGAATAAAGAGCTGGAATATCAGGTTTGTGTCAAGAACAGGGAGGGCAGTTTTATTGAAGAATGTGGTCCAGGCTATGCCATCCTATGCTATGAATGTTTTTTTATTACCCGAAGAGCTTTGTAGTAAAATTGAGAAGTTGATGAATGGCTTTTGGTGGAGAGGCACGAAGTTAGATAAAAAAGGTTTACGATGGCGGAGTTGGGAGAAACTGAGTTGACCGCGGGAGGCGGGTGGTCTGGGGTTCAGGAGAATTAGAGAATTTAACATAGCAATGTTAGCAAAGCAAGGATGGAAGCTTACCAGTGATGATGGCAGCCTGATGTGTCGTGTTCTTAAAGCCAGGTATTATCCTAAGTCATCGTTTTTGGACTCTAATCTGGGGAACTACCCTTCTTTTATTTGGAGAAGCATTTTTTAAACTCAAGGAATTCTGAAGAACAATATTAGAAAGGGTAGGGAATGGGATTGATGTCCAGGTATGGGCCGATGCTTGGTTACTGGGCGATGGGGGGGGGGGGAGAGTGACATCTCCTAAACCTTTAGAAAATATCTCATTAAAGAGCTTTTAAAATTTTCAAAATAGAAAAAAATAACCAAATATGTGCATAAGTTTTGATCTGTTTGAATATTCTAAAAGTCTTAAAATAGTACGGAGTAGAACAGACAAGTAAAACACTTGAAAAACAAGAAACTACCTTAAGAAAAATCTTATTGGCTATGTTCAAAACAAAACAAAAAGAAGAGGAACTTCATTGATTAGATTTTCCTTATTTATAGTGTCTAATTACCTACATATATACAACATTTTGATAAATTAAAAATTTTAAAAAGAAAATATATAAACTTTGACAATTTTGCGTTATTTTAATACTTTTACTCTTTGAGATCTTCTAAAACATATTTTCACAATTTCCCTTTTAATATTTTAACTTTGGTGAGTTTTTGAAATACCAAGCCTATTTTTGTAATTTGTGTTATTTTTTCATATTCTCTGTTGTTTATGATTAACAAGGTGACATTACGTTTGCTTTAAAATATTGTGGACAAATAAAATAATTCCTAATTTCTAGAATTGTTTAGGAAGAACTTTGCAATTCTTAAGAAAAGTCTTTTCAAATGTTAACTTACAAAAAGTTAATGTTTTCAAACAAGAGTTAATTAAATCAACTACTTCAAAATAAAAAGAGAAAACTGTCAAATAGGTCCTCGTACTTTTACGAAAAAGTCAATTGAATCCTCGAAGTTTTTCGTGAGTCAATCAAGTCCTTTAAGTTTTAAAAAATCACCAAATCCACCATTTGGACGGTAAATAACCGGTAACTCATTTACATGGTGATGTGGACATCCAGGTGGCATTTTGTACTGTTTTCTATTATTTTGTATTCTTTCTTTTCCTTTTTTTTTTCTGCAGGTCTCCATATATAGAAGGGGCTGGCCTGGGAGGTTTTGGAGGTAGGCGTGGGGAGGCCGGTGTGGGTATGGAGGTGTTTAGGGACGGAGCGAGAAGATGGTAACTTGGTGAGTATGGAAATAGGGGCAGCGGAGTGGTAGGTATGGGGGTAGGGCGGCGGAAGTGGTGGGTATGGAGGTAGGGGAGGCGGAGGTGTGGGTCTGGACGTAGGGCGGCAGAGGTAGATGGTTTGGAGGTAGGGGCGGCAGGGTGGTTGGTGTGGTGGTAAGGATGACAGAGGTAGTGGGTATGGATCAGGTAGGGGCGGCAGCGTGGAAAAAGTCGCTCTAGCCGGAGAAGGTGGAGGAGGTCAGTTACGCACCGGAGAAGGCGGAGTAGTGGGTAAGTTTCCTGCCGAAGAAGAAAGAACGGAAGAAAAAGCAATTGAGAAGGGGAGGAAAAATGGGTCTGCGGGAAGAAGAAGATGAGTTGGAAAGAAGAAAGAGATTGGAGAAAAAGAAAAAAGATAAAGAAAAGAAAAGAAAATGGAAAAAACAAAACTTTTGCCACATGGGTGTCCAAATCAGCCACATGAGTGTCCAAATCAGTGATAACCGGTATTATTGGTATCCAACCGGTTAAATTTGTCAATTTGATTGATTTTTAATAGTTCGAGGATTCAATTGATTCACGAAAAACTTCAAGGACTTAATTGACTTTTTCATAAAAGTAGAAGGACCTATTTGACTGTTTTCCCAAATAAAAAAGAGGAAGTATTTGGATGAGTGCTTTGACTGCTTTCAAATGTTTCGTTTTTAGTATTTACCAAATACTAATTTTTACTTTTCAAAATCATTTTTTATCAAATAGTATTATCTTTTGCTATTAAATACTTTTCATATAAATATATAATATCTAGAATTAATTAGTTAAAGTAGAAGCAAATCATAAACACTCATTATATACTATGTACTCCCTCAGTCCCAAATTGTAAGATACATTTACTATTCACTTGGTCAACATAAATCACTCTTAATCTTTTATTTTATATATCAAAAGTTTATAAAATTTGAATTACTTTTTGCAGGTTTTGTAGCGGTTTTAATGTAGTTTCTCAATATGTAAAATTTATTTTCTAGAACTAATTTGAGGGTCGGCAGGGATCAATTTGCTTTATCGTTAGTCAAACATCGTAAACCGTAATGTATCTTACAAATTGGGACGGAGGGAGTATATATTTAGATATCGACATGAAAGACCTTTTAATTAACCATAGAATGGCTTTGATCAGTTTGATTTAGGATGTTTTTACTTGGACTGTAATTTGCTGGTCTGGTCTGGTCTGGTCTGATTTGGTAAGATCTGATTTCTTTGTATTTTTATAACTATCCAAGTCTGGTCTGGTCTGGTCTGGTCTGGACTGGTCTGGTCTGGTCTGGGGCAAATTACAGTCCAAGTAAAAACATCCTATTCCCCTAAACCCCCCAACGCGTATAGAGAAAAGAAGGTTCAGAGCTAGTAGCTAGACTTGATATCAAGCAGGCAATTGAGCAAGTCCAGTCTATGGTGTAGTTGTTGGGTAAAATATATTTAAATATTTATAATAAGAAAACATACCCATAGACTTGATCTTAATTTAAGTATTTAACAAGGAAATTGAACAAGTCCAGTCTTGAAGGAGTATGCATTACAATTTACAATATAATAATTGATAGTAAAGACTATAAATATACACTCCCCTCCCTCTTGTTCTCTCATCAATTGTTCAACAACTTTTAACTATATAATCCTCACACGCCTTTCATTCCACTTAAGAGAATGGCTTTTCGGTTCTTCATTATCTTTGCTATTTTGGCTATTACTATAGCTTCTTTTGCCAGTGCATCTGATCCCAGTCAATTACAAGACTTTTGTGTTGCAATTAATGATTCCAAGGCTGGTGGTATATATTTATCTCATATAGACATATACCCAATTCAATTTCATTAATTAGTGTTACTTTGGACTTTAATGTATTGATGTTTCTGTAATGATATAACATGCGTGTAGAATGTAGCCACTCACTAATGCCACAAATTGATGTGCAGTTTTTATCGGCCAACACAATTTCTTTTGGGAATATATATGGGTCAACACAATTCAATTTAGGGGAGTGTTTACCTTTGTTTTTGCTTTAAAAAAATCACTTTTTAAAATCATTTTGGAAAAAGTGCTTAATAGTTAAGTAGATAATGTTTGAGAAAAAATTGATTTTAAAAAGTAAAAGTTGGTAGTGTTTGGTAAAATATGTGCTTTTTTGTGTCATTGAAAAAAGTAAAAAGCAGATTCTAGCTTTTAGTTTTTAAGTGTTTAATTTAAGCAGAAATTGTAACTTGAAAATAATTTGAAAAACGTAACCCTAATGATTTGTTTACAGATTATATTTTTAAAACTATTCTAAAGTAATGCTACGTACATGTATAAGAGATCTTTTTTTTTTTGCATTCAAGAAAGTGTTTTGTTGCTTTTTCTTGACCGTTATTCCTTTATATGTGTATACATTTAAAAACTGACTTTTTGTTTTCTACGGTAGTGTTTGTCAATGGAAAGACCTGCAAGAATCCAACAGATGTCAATGCAGGGGACTTTTTTCTCTCAGCGGGCCTTAACAAACCCGGAAATACATCAAATCAGCTTGGATCTGCAGTTTCAGCTGTGACGGTGGATACCCTACCCGGGTTGAACACTCTCGGCATTTCACTAGCTCGTATTGATTTTGCTCCCAATGGGGTTGTTCCTCCGCACACCCACCCTAGAGCATCAGAAGTACTCGTACTCTTGGAGGGTACTCTATACGTTGGATTCGTCCTTTCGAATCCTCAACCGGGAATGAAGAATAAGCTCTTTACTAAGACGTTATACCCTGGAGACGTTTTTGTGTTTCCACAAGGCCTTATTCATTTCCAGCATAACATCGGGAAGTCAAATGCTATCTCCTTATCTGGCTTAAGTAGCCAAAATCCAGGAGTTATTACGATAGGCAATGCCATTTTTGGATCTAATCCACCCATCGATTCAGATGTTCTCACTAAAGCATTTCACGTCGACACCAAAGTTATTGAGTATCTTCAATCACAATTCTAGTATGACGAACAAAAATTATTACTACTACATTATTACTACGATGTCATTTCCTTACATCTTTATATTAACAATAAACTCATGTAATAATACTTCCTTTATATTATACATATATGTTATATGTATAATGTATAATATAATGTGAACACTCACATGCATGTCTTCCGTTACGGAGGGTTGTCATGGAATAAAATTATTGTCTTTAATACATTTGGAAAAGTAGTTGGTATTAATCTTCACATTTGTTCAGTTTTCACCTAACCACCTTTTATAAAGTTTATTGATACGTAATTAAATATAATTAAAGCCAGAGTTATGTATTGGTAAATGTGAAAGTTAGACCGTTTTAATTAAAAACGAATGGAGATAGTTATAAGAAATCACATGAAAGCTCAGAAGAGATGGAGTATAAGTCAAGGAGGATCATTCTGCAAATGTTGACACTTCATTTAAATGTACTTTGTGAGGCAAATAGGTAATATTACAATCAAGGAGGATCATCGGTACAAATTTCACATGCCATAAAACTAGCATTCAAGAGTAATGGACAAATGGACAATGCTAAGATACATGCCAAAATTAAGAACCAAGGGTATTCAAAAGTATGAAAATCTTTTCAAGGAGTCATTTGTAGTGATGATAAGAAAGAAACCATTGAGATTTATAAAAAATGATGAGAGAACTTATTTATATTTCAAATTTCCGAAGTTTAAACTTAGAAATGCACGTTACAAAGTTTCAACTTGGAAACTCATTTGAATTACAAAGTTTCAACTTATATAAATAATTATGATTATCTGTTGAAGAGATTGGCAAACTTTTGTTAACTAGAAAGAAACTTCTTTTGTGGTTGGATTATTTGAAGAAATAGTCTTAAACATGCTCCTCATAAAATAGAAAATATTCCAACAAGGCCAAAATGGAAAATGTTGGTCCCAGATAAATATGAGGAAAACCATCTAGAGGGGGTGAATGGACTGTTTTGAAAAACCTTCCAAAAGACTAATCTATACTTCTCACAGAGTTAGACTAAATCTGATCAGAATTAGTATTGCGCCGAATTAGCAAAGGTCGGTCACGGGGAGCCTAGATAAAAATTTAAGGCACATTTGCCTTCAACTTCTCTTGAGTGAAATATGTGAGGTGATAGAGTTCACACTCTTGAGAGATCGATTGAATCCTAGATGCAATAAATAAAGTGTAGTAAAAGTAAATGACATCAAATATTTTTATAGTGGTTCAAGGAACATGTTCATCTAGTCCACTTTTCATTAAGCACCAAGTAATGTACAAATGACAAGATTTCCTCCTGCTCACTTAAGAAGCATTCCACGTCTTCTCCACGATAGGCTTTTCTTGTCATCCGAGGTTTCCAAATGCTTCCTTAATTCCTGGCCTTTTTCACTGGACTCGTGGAAGTATCTCCACATAACTGCAATTACTTTGGTGTTCCTTCTTTGCAAGAAGTTTTCCTTTGAATAAAAAAAGGTTTCCTCCAGCTTCTCCTGTTGCTTGATGTAGCTTTGAATATCACATAGAATTTGAAAAATCTCGAACAACATGATTGAGGATGTATTTGAGGATTTTAAAAATGTTCTTCCAATCAATAAAATCTAATTTGTTTTCTCGAAAAAGTCTTAGTTTGTATATTTCCGCGTCATTCTTTCTTCAAGATTTGGTCCTTATAGTGAATGGTCATCTTCCCTTGGAGGAGGAAGATGACTTCATTTAATTCTCATGTCCTTAGAAGTGTATTGATTGAGTAATTATTTTTATTTTGGTTACGTTATTGGGTTCTCATGATCCGAAATCAGTCAATGATTGCTTGGACGGTTGTGCAACGGATCGATAAATAGCATGTAATGCGCTTGTCTAGTGTTCTTCTGTTACTAGAAATTTCCTCGCCAGCTATCTGTTAGTTTACTTAGCGTCTGTTTAAACTAACAAATTTCACTGCGTAAAGGCTGTTCTATTTCTGAATGGCGGTCTCTTTTTTAGTCGATTCTGCTAGGCCAAATTTATTCCATACAGATTTACCTTATGAACCCTGGTTTTGGCAGACTTGCTTGTTGCTGAATAGTTAATTACTTAAATAGGACTAAAACATGATAGCAAGACTGACCCAATTTATGAATTGGAAATTTAATAAAAAAATACGGAGTATTTGTTTGCAAAATTTCCCCTACAAGTCTATAGCAAGAGAACATTATCAAACCTTTGTGCTCAACCTCATTGAAGACAAACTGGGCAACGAGCGTGAGGGTTATTTGTTCTTATGCTTTGCCAACGCACAACAAGAATGCTAAAACCTCTTTGGAATGCATTTTCCATGATCATGAGTTACAATTTTACTAGAGAAAATTTAATTTTACTAGTCTTTTTTTTTAACAATCAATTGTATAGGTACACAAAGTGAAGATTAGTATTATGGAAAATACCGGCAACACAACATTCTTTACTTGAAATTATGCATGCAAATAAGTGTTTCGGAAAAAGGATGTTGATTTTTTTGTAGAAATTATATGAATTGATATTTACAAACAATAAGTGTATAATTCATATATGTTTTAAAATTAATGTATAAAAAGGTAACAATGATGTAGAAAATCTTGAGAAATCCAATTTGATCGAGAAGAGTGTAATGTTTTTGGCTCAAGTGCAAAATGACAATTCAAGGAAGGCGAGAATAGTTTTTTGCATTATCAAACTGAAGGCAGATGAAGACATGATTTCAAAACACGTTGGGGAACATCAATTACTGGGGTAAGTTTGTTGACACTACTAAATTGCATCTATCACACATAATGTTCAATTTACCACATTTAGCGTTTTAGGACATGGAAGACATTTGTGACCTGACTATGGAGAATGAGAAAGAAAAAGACACAATGGAAGCTGAGCAATTTGATATGACTTCAATCACCTCATATGGGATGAGGATAGCCTACTCGAGGCAAAAGGACTTATACGGATGATGATGAAGCAACCCTCTAGGAAATTTCCCCATGTGCTTGTGTCTACAACTAGGCTATTCATATATATATATGAATATACAACCATGCTTCGTATACAAGCTAGTTGTACACAAACATTTTACACAGTGGTCAATTTGTCTGCACACTGGCAATTTTTTTCATTTTGTGAAGAAACCCGTTTTTTGCATCGACAAAAAAATCGTCGGTGCGGAAAACAATTTTCTTCACAAAACAAAACAACATTGTCTGTACAAAAGAAATTTGACTGGCGTGTAAAATGTTGTGTACAACTTGGATGTTTTCAGTCCCAGACCAGACCAGATAAGATCAGACCAGACTTTCGTAGTTATAAAATATACAGAGACCAGACGTTTACAAGACTAGACCAGCAAATTTCAGCCCAAAAGAAAACATCTTGGTGCGTACAAACAACATTTCTCATGAATATATGATTTCCCTAAATTTGTGTTCTGTAACACAAACCCTCTTGTCCTTTATTTGAGTTACTGGCTATCAAGTTGCCTATATAATGATTTCACTAAATTTGGTTTACAATACAATCCCTGTCAAAGTGTCAAATCATATGTAGTATTTTCTATTTAATGTGGGCTGTGAATATTAAGTACAAATTTCATGTTGGTAATTCATAAATTTCATGTGCATAAGTATAGCAGCATTTACCATTTGCCTTTATCATTCAGAAATAGAAATAGTAAGAACATAAAAAAGAATAGTTCTCCTTATGAGTGATGATGAATATAAAAATATTAATATATAAAAATATGCAGAGTGAGTTGAAACATTAGAAAATTTAGCAAGTTCATTTCGAAGAAATTTTCTGCCTTTGGCACTATATAATTTAATGTGAAAAGTAAGTAAGAGATAATGAAATAATTATAAATTAAGGTTATTGGTCAAAAATAGGACGCTCGTAGACTTTTAGGAAAATTACATAAGAACACTCAAGTAAGAATCAAGAAAGTAATATGAATAAGGAAAGTTGCTCAAGAGTTTGGTTGCCAGAAATAGCATATTGAAATTGCTTCCCCTAATCTGAATTACAACCTGACTTTTATAAGAGTATACAAATCATAATCGCTATCGATAATAATGACTAATTAATTACAACATTAATACGTAATTAAATACATAATTAAACAACTCATTAATTGCTTGACCGTTACTTTTCGTAGCTGGCCGGTCGGCCGGACTGGCAGGCTCCCCGCTGGGCTGGTAGGCAGGCTCTAGGCTGTGGACTTGGATTCACGGGTCCAAGTTCGGGGCTTGGGCCGATTAGGCCCTGGGCCTAGTCCCATAACTCCATAACGAGTCCCCCACTCCCTTAGTCGAGTAGTAGACTCGGCTAAGAGGGAGTAGTCCAAGTCAGTTGCTCTTATCCGAGAATGGAAGATCTCCACCCTTGTCCATGTCGGGGAGATGCCTCATTAAAAACCTTCATTAGGAAAAAACTCAATGGGAAAAAATCCTAATGAAGGGAAAAAGAGTACATCCGTCGCCCCCAAGATGAAGCAAGAGGTGAAATCCTCAGCCTTTATTGCAATGGTCGCCATCTGCGAAAAGGATGGCTAGAACCGTTCTTCTCATTGGGCTCGTACTCATCAGGCTCGTCTTCGTTCAATTGTACCTACACATAAAAGCAACAGGTGTAGAATGGAGCATTTGGTTTGTCGTCGAACCACGGTTCAGTGAGTACGTAAGTGAGCCGGACTCACTACTCGAAAAGAGTGACATCAAGTTCCCAAGTTAGGCCTCAACCTAGCCTCCGAAAGAAAGATTGAATCCGTGAGTAAGTGAGTCGGACTCACAATTCGAACGGATAATCCAACCCCAAAGAACTAAAGTATATCAACCTTTTCGGGAAATGTGATTGTCAATTAAGTGACAAAATTGCTCGGAAGAGCGTGGCTGTAGGCCCCTAACAAGATTTTAACTCGCCGCCCGAGGTTAGTAGTTCGAACCCACAAGTAAAAACTTTTGAACGGATGACTCGTCCCCCCGAGGTCGGAGTGTGATGCACTAGGAAGAGGTAAGAGCATGCAAGAACTCGTATGAAATCAAGAGTGTGCGGCATTAACATTTATATTGGAGCTTATTAATCGCCACACCCATATGACATGATCCGGTGTGCTCGACCGTTGTATGAGTGCGTGTGCTCGCCCGGTGTACGTGAGTGATCGGATTTCATAAGTCCGCAGGGACGGAGCCACAGGTATGGATATGGTGTCAATTGACACCACTAATTTTTTTTTAGTTATATATA